TGCAAAATAAATATAACAACATTAAAAAAGGAGTTTATATATACCAAAACTGTAAAAATATAGATTTTTTTGTTTTTATTTAAAAAATTATATCACTTACCCTCTATACCATCTTTAACAAATGGATGATCCAAAAGTTCTGGCCATTGTAATCGTTTCTTCGCCTTTTTTTCTAAAAGGCCTGAGAGAAAACTTTGAAACGTGGGTGACATATCCTTATGCCATTTGATTTCGTCTTTTGTAATCATATTTACCAATGCAAATATGTTATTTGTGTAAAAAGGTGGCGTCCCCACAAAAAGTTCATATAAAATACATCCAAGTGCCCTAGACAAAAAATAATAAACCAGAATAAAATCGAGTACCATAGATCAGTGCAATGATCATATGGCTTTTCTTCTATTAATTCTGGAGCCATATATAGAGGGGTACCCTACAGATGTCAAAAATTATTGAAGATACCTTAATCGAAGTAAGAACCATTGTATTAAGACTCATTGCTCTTGCAAATCCAAAATCACACAGTTTTACAACTCCGCCTTGACCAAGAAGGATATTTTGGGGTTTCATATCACGATGCAATATCCTGTATGCATGAAGATAGTACAAAGCAGAGACCAATTGACACGCTATGGAACGAACCTTGTGGTTTGTAGATAAATTAAAAGAGTAAACCCACAATTTCTTCTGGAAGACGACCATCATCTTCCAAAATTTGAAAAAGATCGCCTTCCGCATAGTCCGTTACTGCTACTACCTATATATATAATTCGTTTGACAAATAACTTTTACAAACTTCTTTATCAGTTTCAAAAGTATCCAACATTTCAATAATATTTAAATGGTGCAATGATCGCATAATTTCTATTTCTCTTTTTAAACCTTTAAGGGCGTTATCAGTCTTCCCAATCTTAGGGATGAACTTTAAAGCTACAATCTGATAAATCAATTACTTTTTAAAAATTAGCCTACTTGTCCTGTGTACTTTTTCCTTCCTTTATATACACGGCCAAAGGATCCTTCACCAATACATTCAAGAATGTTATATGCATCCATTATATACTTTTATTTTAACCGATGACATATAATGCAAGTAACACAGGTAAACATAACTTTATAAAGTTGCCAAAGTGCAACTGTTTAAAACAATTTATCACTCGGCAGATAAGGAAATATATTGATTTAAATTAACCTACAAGAAATCACAGACCTTTATTACTTTTATTTTTATACTAATATAATTTTTTTCACTAATTTGGGATTTATTTTTTGAATTTGATAGGAAATTATCGAAGTAATTTTTATCGACAGAATGTGGCACTTTCCCCAAAAATATTCTCAGTTAATGCTGAATTAAAACACAAGCTTAGATAGCTTGAATCAATTTCTCTGATCAAGTAAATATTTAAATGTTATCAAGAATTCCTATAAAATTAACCATCCATTTGACTATCTAATAAATATAAATAATAACAAATAATATATGTTTCACGATGATATGGAGAGCATGATAGTGCATCAATTAGTATAGTCACAGTCTCCTATGTATAGAAATAGAGGCCTTGTTTTTGCAAATTGGTCTCCTTATAAAGGGAACTTATTTAAACACACAATGTTTGAAGTCTTCTGAAATTTTGGTTTGTGTTATTCCCAGCATCCGATTGTGGACTTGGTACATTCTAAGACGTCTTGCCAGTATCTAACTCGTCATCATTAGGTATTGGCATTCTCAGAACCAAGCTATAATTCACCAAAGAGACAAGTTATTCCCTTA